CAACCTGTAATTAGATTAACTTTAACTGTAGTTTGTTAGAGTAGTTTTAATTCTTCCATCTTAATCTGGTTTGCTAGATAATGAACTGAAGCTGGGTAATAGTAACTCTAGAGACCCATGTATTCGATATTAATTACTTGAGCCACTATACTACAGTCCCTTTCATTGGTTACACTTGGCCATTGTTAGGAGTTGTGTCATAGCAAGTCACCGGCTATATATCGAGTTCATGCTGGGAGGTCAGCCTCGAGTGCTTTCCTATGATGCATTCGTCCAGGCCATGGGGCTGGACCTGACGCACATGAGAATGATGGAGTGGCACTACACAACTGACTTCCACTATCAGGCTGCATTCAGGGCCCTCAGTCGTCCAGATCATAAGCACGAGGAGGGAGTACGAGGCAAGCCACACCAATAGGGTGAAGCTGAGGACCCCTTGGAGGTTCCTTCATACCCTGCTTACCCGCTCACTCATCCCCAGCCTGCAGTCGGGACATCTGATCACAAATAGAGGGTTGCTAGCTCTCTTCTCCATGGAGCATCCAGCAGAGCCGATCCACCTAGGATGACTAATTGCCACCTCTTTCGCCAGATGTCTTGGGTGGAACAGGGTGGAAACCATGCATATAGGGGGCATCATCACGAGGCGGTGCTCCATCATGGGACAGACAGAGTCGTTCCCAGTGTCGACACTAGGGTCTCATTCCAGATGATGAGCCGGAGCCTTCGACCTAGTGAAAGGTAGCCGATGAGAGATATGTGGCAGAGCCGATTCATTTTGCCCCACTATTGGATATTTATCATAAATGCTCACAAACCTTTGCACTTTGTACAAAACAATCACAAACCTTTAATTTTGCACGTTTCAGTCAAATTAGTATGAGTGAATAACAAAGAGGTCATTATGTTCATCTCCATCCAAATTTATGTTAAATTTGACCGGTCAACAATCCAAGTCAGCAAACATATTAATAAAAAAATCATCTAACCAACCGCCAGGACTCAACTCAACCCACCCAAACTTTAAACCCGCCCACCCTTTCTTTAGAAACAAATCCCCACCTCCCCAATCCCATCACCATGGACAGTGGTTACATTCTCCAAGAACCAACCTCCCCCTCTATTTTTTTTATAGATTTGCATCTTTAAAACCCAACTCGACTCTTTATTTTGGAACTAAATCCATCTTTTGTCCTTCCTTTAATTGGTTCGCCTCCATTTACCTTCCCATCTCTTTCTCCCTTTTGCAGTACAAATATGTCTCCATTACGATTCTTTCAATGCTTCTAACTACTGCTCCCTCTTGTATCAGTGGCTGGATTCTTCAAATCAAGAGGAAGATCTTCTAGTCGAAGAGAAGGATGGCGGATGATTAGCTCTGTTCGGCAGTGGAAGATTGATCGCCCCCACCTCCCGCAGTTCAGCGGGCGAACAAATCGGGGGGAGGATCGCCAGCGAGTATGAGGATGTTGGACGCAATCGGTTGGAGTAGCACCAACGATGAGGAGTACGGTGTACGAATCGGTTGGAGGAGGTGTGGTCGCCGACGGCACGAAAATCGCAACTCTCCCCTTCTCCTTTCCACTTCTGGTCTGGCTTTCTCCCACAAAGGGTTTGTTCCGTCCGGTTGGATTGCTGGGTTAAGTGGGCTGGTTAATCATTTTTTTAATTAATATTTACACTCACGTGTCATGCTGATGGTGCGATTAGGACGGAATTTGGAACGGAATTGGACGTATTTACCATTTCGTTATTCGCTCAAACCTTCATTACCGAAACGTGCAAAATTAAAGTATTGTGATCATTTTGTACAAACTGAATAGGTTTGTGACCATTTATGATCATTTTGTACAAACTTATCATAAACTACTACTATCGTATTGTGATGTGTAATAACCTCACCTCGAGTGAGTCATATTGTGTCTGTGTAAGTGTGTTTTATTTTTGTCTTCTCCTTGAAGCTTAAATCTTCTACCCCGGGAAAATTCCAACTTTCATTCGCCAAGCAAAGCGGTAACACTCGTTCTATTCCCATCTTACGCCATTGAGGGCAATGTCGAACTTAAGTGTGGGGGTAGTTTATTCTTATGCTTGTGTGAGTGTGATTAATGCTTGGAGCCTTGATATATGCCAAAATTTTAAAATTTTGAGGGCTCCAAGCAATGTTTGCATGATCAAAGTGGCCGGTTTGTAGGAGAATCTCATGTTTATTGGCATTGATCTTGAATTGTTGCATGTGATCGAGTGTGTCCTATGATGATGACTGAGAGGTGCATTAGGATAGTGCAAAAGTTTAGTTCTCATGTGTGCAAAAATGAATGGATGTCTTAACTCGATTACTTGTTGATTACAATTGCCATGCATTGTGTTTTGTGAAAGTGGAATGAATGATTGGGTGACTAGGTAACCATGTGAGTTTTGAGCCGATCGTTTTATTCTTATGTGCTTAGATCCCTGTTACCATGACGAATAACATCACAGTTGTCACTAGTGGGTATGATGGAGGCATATGATTAGTCCACGACCAAATGTTGACTGTCCCAAAATGTCTTATCCCCTAGTCAACCCCTTTGAGCCATGTGACTTTGGGGGTCGTTCTCATGTTAGGAGCCTTTTGCTTGTGATCTTAATGTTGCTTGATAGAACGAACCCCCCCCCCCCCCAAATCCTTTCTTCATGTCTATACGTGCGTCGTCCTTGTGTCCCGGAGCTCTCGCTTTTGAGTTCCTTGAGGTTCTACAAAGAAGGATTGTGTGTAGTTCTTGCTAGCAAAGAAAGAGAAAAGAGTAGTGTTGGACTGAGTTCTTAAAGGAGAGCATTGGTTATCAAAAGTAGTGTGGCAAGTGTTTAACTCTCTAGTACCCTCCCCCCGCCCCCTCAAAATGAAAAGAAAAAGTGATTCGGGCTCAAATATACACATTTTACCCCTCGTTTCTTATTCATTTAGCTTAGTATTTCATCGTTCCTTGACATATTTCACGTTAGGTTGTGCTTGTTTTGATAAATTTCAGGTCCTAGCACGTATGGAAGGGTTGAGGACGAGTTTTGGGATATTTGGAGGTCAAAAAGCGCAAAAACCGAAGAAAAGTCCGAAGTCCGTGACAATTGCCTCATAGTAGTGAATTGAAGGTGTCCAAGAAACAGTCGCAATTCACGGCCGGACGAGGCAGTTCACGGTCTCCTAAGACCGTCAACTTCGACCACAAACCGTGAACACCAACGCGTCCAACGAGGTTGCTGGAGTTACTGACGACAAGGCAGTTCACGGTCACTAAGATCGTGAACTGTAGCCATTGACCGTGAACCCAGGACACTGAAGCGGTGCGTTTTGGATGACGCTTAGTTCACGAACGCGTTTAGGTGTTCAAGGCCGTGAACTTGCCAACGCGTCCGTGAACTGATCACTCTCAGGCAAATATGAAGACAACAGCGAAGAGAGAGAAAGGAGAGCTGGTTTTTGGGGAAGAAACACTTTCTTTCTCTAGGGTTTCAACCTAAAACACCAAAAAGGAATTCTAGTGAGAGAGATAGTGCTAGAGTGATCTTGGAGCATCATTGGAGACTTGGGTGGAAGATTTAAGCCTAGAAGAAGAAGAAGATATTGAGCTCAAATTTGTAGTCTCTCTCTCTCTCTCTCTCTCTCTCTCTCTCTCTCACTTTATAAACTCACTCTTTTCTCTTGGGTATTGTAGATCCCTAACTAATACTTTGTAGTTACTTGTTTAGATTGAATGGTTGTCATTGGGTATTGTTCAATTCAATGTTTGAGGCATTATTCACCATGATTATGCATGCTTGTGCTTAGCAACTTAGGGGTTGTGCATGTTTTGTGCTTATCATCCTAGGGATTGTGCATAAGTGTGCTTAGCACCCCCTAAGTTTGTGCATTTAGGTGCTAGTAATCTAATTTGCCACCTTAGCCTAGTTTAGAGAGGAAAATCCCCCTTTCAAGGGAGACTCAATCGAGTTGGTTCTCCTTCCGCTTTCTAAGCCACCTAAACTAGGTTGAGTTAGGGCAACCCTCAATACTGAATTAAACAAGTCGATTAATCGTGGTTAAACCGTCCGACCTTAGAGTTGAGTGAGGGAGTAAGTCGATTACCAATTGTCTAAACCGAGAGGGTCAAGTGACACGGCCCTTCATCCTCACCTCGGTTTAGCAATTGAGATTGTACTCTCCAACTACATACGCTTTCATGTGTGGTTCACGATTAACGCGCCCAAACCAATCGTTTCAATCCATCAAGTGTCGGTAGCTAGTTAGGGGGAAGCAACTCCCGGGTGAAGCTCCCTTAGTTAGACTTTTCCTTTATTTACTTTTCCTTTCTAGCTTAGTTTGTGGTTCCATTAGTTACAAACCCAAAAGTTGTTTGCTAGATAACAACCTAAGCGATTGAAGTAGGGATACATGGATCGGCTGGGTTGACAATTTAAATACTTGCTCTATACTGCACCCGATTAGAGTTTAAAAACTTGGGCTCTAGTCGGGATTAATTTGTGGTGTAGTTTCATCCGAGTCAAACAGAAAGAAAAAGAAAGAGAAACGAAAAAGAGGTAATAAAACGTGGTCAATAAAGTAGAGATTGCCACAAAAGATTAGAAGAGTATGCTCTAAGTGAGGTTTCTTGGCATGTAAGCCATTGAAACCCACACAACATTGTTTTAGAACTCCTTCACTACCAAGTTGAAATGTGATAGGAGGAAAGACCGAGGAGAGCGCTTAAAGGTAGTTCATGAAGGGTGATAGGTTGGAAGGGAGAAGCAAGTTTTTGGTCGATTGATAGATGTCGAATCTACTTCTATGATAAACTACACAGAAAACTAATAACTTTAGGGTTTATTCTTCGCATAATCCAACCAAATGACATAACTAGGGTGAATATTGTTGCCTAACCCGAATCGACTAATGGCAATAAAGTAAATAACAATAATACGGTAAATAGCGTGTATGTATACACGCATCAATCTCCTCCCCTTCAAGCATAACCTTGTCCCCTAGGTTATTCTCTAACGTCATCCGGAAAATCGCCGACCATCAAGAACAACTCATGGCCTGGACAATGATGATCGATTGTGAATCGCTCATCATAGTTGAAGCACATCCCGTCCCTTCGTCGCCTTGCGATCTCTGCTGGGGTACGCTTGATAACTCCGAATGGAACGTAGGGCGGTGCCCGCGCTGGTGTAGCCACATTCCCAACTGGTGCCTCTAACCCAAGACGCATATCTTCCAACTCCTCCTCCCTCCCCTTCACCAATCGAAATGCCTCTCGCAACCATTCAGGCTGGAACTGACGAACTCCACCAGCAATTGCTGATTTTAATCCTGCCAAATAAGCATTGATTAGAGTACTCACATGCCAGCCTCGGCAGTGATACGTTAGCTTCTCAAACTCCAGTTTGTGCTCATCAACTGGCCCTGCCTGTCTCAGATTCATAAGATTCTCTTCACTCGCGCCTTTCCCAGCCGGTTCAAATCTAGACCAAAGCTCTTCCTTGAAACGCTCCCATGTCACCACCTCCCTGCTAGCCTCCATTGTATACTCCAACCACTGCCATCACTGCCCTGCATCGCGTTCCAAGTAAAATGCAGCCCATAACACTTTATGATCTTGCGGTATTCATTAATACTTGAAAAATCTTTCAGCCTGAGAGGAAAGCTGAAGGAAAGAAGGGAAGAGACCTAGAGTGAGAAAACTTCTCCTTCTTCAGATTTTAGAGTGAGAAAGTGACGAACAAAAGAAGAGGAAAAGCTAGTGTTTGATTTCCAAACAAGGATTTTGGTTTTCTTCAGCACAAGGAGCAAGGCATGCCTCTCCATGATGGTTTTCATTTCCCTCTTTTGTGTTTCCCCTTATCCTAGCATATTTCACTTGGGTGTGTGTAAACCCTAGCGACATTTATGTGAATGCTTGTATGAATTGAATAATTTGTGTGTGGATGTGTTTTAATGTGAATGTGGAGGTATTATTCAGAAATGATTGTGTTGTGTGAAAGCCAATCAATCTAATAGCCATTCTAACCTAGTTTAGAGAGAACCCCCCCCCCCCCCCCCAAACTTAAGAGGCTCTTCTAGAGATGGGTTTCCTTGGGCATTCTATGTTTCCTAGCCTAGGTTAGTTAAAGGGCAAACTTCCTAATTCGTATTAAGCACTTAGGGTTTGGTTGTGGGTGGCCATCCGAACTCCAATTCGAGGGTGAAGTCTTCCTATTCCTTAGTCGATAGGTTGAGAGTGTCACATTAGTGGCTTGGATCGTATCCCATTCCTCAACCTAGAGTCTAAGGGTAACTTTGGTTGCTTGTTAGACTTCCCTGCGGTTTATGATCCCCTAACCACACAAGGTCGTTTGATTCTTTGAGTCATAATTGTTAGATAGGGGGAGCAACACCCGGGTGAAGCTTTCTCAACTAAAGTCAAATCCATTTTATCTTTGCAAATTAATTTAGTTTTCAACCTTTTTTTTCACCAAAACCGATCCGCTAGATAATGTTTCAAACAGTCGAAGTAGCGGTACATGGAACGGCCCAGGTCGATATTTAAACATACTTGCCCTATATTGCACCCATTTAAGGTCCCCTATATTGCACCCATCTAAGGTTTATACTTGGACCTTAGGTGAGATTTTATTGTGATAGTTAGAGCAAGCAATTTACAACAATCCCAAGCGGGGGAAGTTTGTTTTAATTGCAGATTTGCAGTAGAGGTTCTCGGCAGAGGTGATTTTGATTAGCGGGACGCCGCTCTCATTGGAAGAAGAAGGAGAAATATTAGAGGATTATTTATTTTGTTAATTTTTTGCAGGTTCATAAAGGTTAATTTAGTAATTTAATTATTGAAGTTCTGACGATAATAGCAAATTATGATGTCATTTGGCCATTCAGTTTTATAATAACGGGAAGTGTTAGGATATATGGATAATAATTAGAAAATAACCATTTAGGACTAATTCTTTTGGGTATATATATGTTATTTATTTATTTTAAGGTATATAAATCAATAATATATGAAGGAGATTCATGGGTTAAATTTTCAGCATTTTGAAAATGGTGGTCTGTGAGTGATTTCCGGATGGGCCTTATCGTCATTTCAAAAGGCTTTAATGGTATTGTGTGTTTTGTTTTTCGGAGGCCAATTCCGCCTATCAGAGATGGGTCACTGAAAGGTCCGATAACAACAAAATTTGGGCCTTGTGTTCATTCCTCCAACTACCCATTGCCCTCACTCAATCTCACTCAATCTCTTCCAACTTCCCATTCCAATTCCAAAGCTAGATCCAAACTCAAACTCTAACTCCAACAAATCCATCACAATTATTACACAATACACATGCATGTCACAATCAACAAAAACATACACCAAACATCTAGCCTATAATTTTTACAATCAAAAAGCACCCATCAACAAACAATTTCTTGAAAATCTAAAACCTACCTTAAAATTCCCGACAAACCAAACAAAGAATGAAACGGGAACAAGATAGATAGAACGAAACTAAAAGGAAATTATCACAAGCTATCAAACAATTTTTCTATCGAGGAATAAGCGGCCATCCATTCGCTGGGATTTAGGTGCTCCGATTCACACTACCTATTGTGAATGGAGAAGAATTTCAATGCAAATCTAAATAAAGATTGAGACATTTCTAAGTTTCTCTCAATTCCTGTCAGTGAGAAGAAAAATGAAGTAAAATGGAGATTGTGGTGAGATACACAGCTTAGAGAGAGAGGGAGATGGAGAAGGAATGAAAAAAGAAAGAGAGAAAAAAGGAGAGTGACAGTGAGAATGAGGGTGAGGATAAATTTAAAAGAGAGGAAAAGATGAGGCAATATGAAATAATTGCCCCTCTTCTCTTTTGGTGAGTTTGATTCATTTTAGGGGATGATATTTGCACTTTATTAATTTTTCATTTCAATTTAAATGTTTAAATCAATTTTACATTTGAATTATTTTCCTTAATACTATTATTATTTTATCTTCTGGGATTGAAGCTGAAGGGGTATTTTATAAAGTGAATGTTTTAGCGGTTTTTGGTCCAAACAATTCCTAGAGTCTTTTACATGGCTGGAAACAAAAGTTATAGTACAAAAGCTAAAAAATCTATTGCAAAAAATTGTAAGTCATTTACCGAGAATTAGAATATGCAATCTCATTCAACAAAAGCCACTTTGCAAAAGTTATAATGCAAATGCTAAAATATCTATTGCAAAAAAGCATAAGTCACTTACCGAGAATTATAATATGCAATCTCATTCAACAAAGGCCACTTTGCAACAAGGATTGAAAAATGGTATCGTACCGATGGTTCGACCAAAAAAATCTCTTACCGGAGGTGAAACTGGTAGGTAGTATTTAGAGGCATGAAACGGTTGAAACCATGGTTAAATCACGATTTCAAGATAAAATATCATACCGTTAACTTTTTCGGTACGGCCTCAAAAATTAATTTATACCTCCTGAGGAATTTTCGGACAAAATTGCATTTTGAAACTTAAAAGAACACCTGCAAAATCATGATGTTCTTCATACCCTCTCCTATTTTCTTCGAAAGAAGAATGCAAACTTAACCTCCGGTGAACGCGCAACAACCACAGAACGATGGATGGTAGTTCCGTCTCTATAAGAGTTTAGATAATTCTCAAATTCGAAAGAAGACTACAAGCTTAAACCCTGAATTCGAATTCCTAAACAATGAACCCTACTTTTAGATAATTTCCAAATTCAAAAATTTAAAGCAAGAATTTAATTTCTTACACGGCTCCATAAAACACCAAGCGTTGATATGTAAGGGACGGAAGAGACAATAAATCTCTAGAACTTCAACCAGAAATCCTTTTTGAAAAAAAGGGTTAATTGGAAGGTTGGTCATTGAGATTACTAAAAATGTTCATGTTTGATCTTTAAAAATATTTAATTCCATTCGTGGTCACTAAAATTAGTTAAACATACCAAGTTTGGTCACTCTCCGTCCAATTCCGTTAACTTTTGCTTATGTGGCATTCAACTTTTATAGTAGACCGTTAAATGTGTGACATGACAATTAAAAAATAATAAAACAAATAAAATTTAATTTTAAAATTTTTCACTTCATTTCTAACTGCTTCTCTGTAGAACTCCTTCCAGCTCGACGACGTTAATGGCACCGGTTCCCCACCCTGTCGTGATGCCGGCGACAACTCATTATCCGCCTTCATCGCCTTAAAGGTCCCCTCGCCACCATCATGGACTTCCCCAATCTTCCTCTTTCTAATCCCGCCGCAACAGTCACTCAATTTTGGTGGGGGAATGAGTCGGAATTCCTACTGGCTTGGAGTGGGAAGTTGAGGATGGCTCTGCCGCCACGGAGACGGAAGGAGGTGATGTCGTATGCTTTGGTGGTCTCATTCCTAGCCGAATTCCCTTCCATTGATTCCTTCATCTCGCACTTCCAACAATACCAAACCCCCTTCAACGCTCCTTCTATTTCATTACTGTCTCATTCTCCTTCTTCTAGCTGCAACGATACCTTAATCTAAAGGAACCATCCATATCCAACATCTCTGTCCCCAAGCTCCCACCTCCCCCCAAACCCGATCAACCCGAATCCAACTCCATTCCGATCTTACCAATTATGTGGACGACGAAAAGCACTACCGAGGGGTTAGACGGAGGTCCTGGGCGATGATGCAACCCGACTTTCCCCTCTTCGACTCCACCACTCGTCCACTTCAGATCTCTTTCCCCTCTTCGATTCCACCACTCCGGCGAGTCGCTTCCCAGATTCACAAAGGGAGAAACCAAACCGAAGATACTGCTTCCTGTGATTCCAATAGATTTTCACTAGATCTTCACTATCTTCAGCAAGCCCCATCCTCTTGTTCGTCTCCTTGTTTCTTCTTGAGTTTTATCCAAAAACCAAATCCCTAGAGCCAAAACCACCAAAAAACCAACACGACCGATTGTGATGCCTGCAATTGTACTAGAGGAAAACCAATTCAAACATGAAGGTGGCAATATGAAAACAAGGAGATTGGTGGTGGTGGTGTTGAGGTCACTTGCTGCTGGCCGTATTGCTAAAACTCCAAGCTAAACCCCATAGAGAGACAAAGCTTTGAGAGGAATTTTCTTTTTTTTTATTTTTTAATTGTCATTTCACACATTTAACGGTCAACTATAAAAGTTGACAGCCACGTAAGCAAAAGTTAACGGAGTTGGACGGAGAGTGATCAAACTTGAGATGTTTAACTAATTTTAGTGACCACGAATGGAATTAAATATGTTTAGTGACCAAACATGAACGTTTTTAATAATCACAGTGAGCAACCTTGCAAATAACCCTGAAAAAAGGAAAGCCTTTTTCCTATTAACTGAAGAAACATGTTTAATTGCTAAATGAATTGGATGTTCATGGTTTAAAGGACTGAAAATTATTATGATCATTATCCAATCTAAGTCCAGGGAGAGCATATTCATTCCTTGGCGATTAGAGCTCCACTTTCATGTACACCATATATCTAACTCATATTTGTCGATCAATCATGGATTTGAATCGAACTAACTGTTAGTTATTGTGAAGCTTTGATGATTTTGTGAACTGGTATGCGAGGGAGCGTCATCTCTGCTGGCATTTGATTTGCAGAAAGAAAGAGATTGATGAATCTGCTATTGGGGAATAGAGGAACGAAAACAATGAGTCGGCCTCCTGGTCTACCACAGCGAGGTAAATCCAGCGCGAGGAATAGAGGCATATGTCAAAGGGCTGAAGGTCAGAGGAGGGGACGACGAAGGGATTGGGTTTGTTTTGTGATGAAGTCCCTGAAGTGGGATTAATTACAGGGAGGGGTAAGCAAAACAAATGGCTAAATTTTATTTTTCTCACATTTTGATGGACTTTGGCCGGTTGAACCAGAATTAACGGAATTCGAACAGAAATGTCACAGAAATATAGGTTTGATATCATAGCAATAATAAAATGTCAAATTTGATGTGAAATATAATAGATGGGCAAATATGAGAGAATACCCATTAGAGGGGAAATTTGTACTATTAACCCATAAAATAAATGTATGCTACTCATACCCTTGCGACCTTTCTCATTAACCAACTTAATGCATAACATTGCTCAAATGATAGGGTTCCTTATGTGACAGAAAATTTCCTTCCTTGCTAATGTCAATGAAGTGACTCCCTCGCTAATGCTACTCCATCTCCATTCTAAGTTATAACTTTAGAAGACCTTTGATCATAATCATACTCAAGGACTCCTTCATTGCTTAATTTGATGTTGTAATACTCAATCAATCGCAATTAGGTGTGGCGTGTGTACTTACTTCAATATACGTTGAAAAGTCGCAAGGTAATCCATATCCAAGGCCGCTTCAATGTTTCAAAATTAGACTTACATTCTTGTATTCCAATAATATTGTTGTTGGGCATATCTGCAATCTGAGAGTCATTTTGGGCATTTCGTACACAATATATTGTTCAACTAATTATTAGTGACAACTTTGTTATTCTATATATTTAAGATCATGCAATTTCATATCCATTAGTAGCAGTGTGGTAAAAAAAATGATGCTCTTTACTGGGAAAATTACTTCAATGACATATCAAACTCAATTAGAGAACAATCATTTTCTTTCATCCTTAAAGTTGATTTCGTATGTATTGTGGGAAGAAACTCTAATATTCAACTCTATGGTCTACTTAAGCAACGAATGACAATTAGCTTTTTTTATTCAATAATTATATTTAATTCTTATATCATATATTTTTTTCTCTTTTTATAGAGTTCTAAATACCTTATGTAAGGTTGGACCTGTTCGAAATGTTACGTGCATAATTAAGGAACAAAACACTCATTCTATGAATTTCAAGACATATGTTATATTCATTATTACATACCATATTCCCAGGTAAACTCTTCAGGCTAGGGGCCTATGCTAGTGTTTTGAAACCACATAAATGTTGCTAGAACTAATATTTCGGTTTGCTGGCAATATATCGGAGCCAAAGTCGAAAGCCAACTCTAGAATGATTGAGAATTTTGGTTTGGGTGATGAATATTTCACACATTCTTTCCAAATTGGAGTGTGTTTTATGAGGTACCCAAATAGTGAACGTATCAAATCTTAGACCACCTACAACAAGGTGGGGGGAAAATGGGTGGGATGGGCCACAATAGTGTAGGGAAGTTTGAAAAAAAAGGGGGAAAAGTTAAAGTGGGAAGGGTTTTCCCTTCACAAAAAGTTAAATGGAGGAGGAGGATGAGGTGGCCCACGCAGGAGGAGAGAGGGCATGCTGGTGGTGGCTTTTTTTTTTTTTTGTTCAATGTTTAAAATTAGTGTTTTCTGGTGGATTTTTATATTTTATCGACCAATAACCATATTTTACAACGGTCATATTTCCAATGACTAATTTTCCAATGACCATATTTTCAAAGGCCATATTTTTTCCATCTCTATAAATAGAACTCATTCTTCACTTTCTTCCAACACTTCTCAAACTCTCTTCCTACCTTCCAAACAAAAAAAATCTCTTCTGGCAGCGAGCGCAATCCGAATTACACAAATCCTGAAGACCTTGTTTTGTGCCAAGCTTGGATGGAAGTTTCACAATATCCTATCATCGGTCATTATCAATCTTCACCAGTTTTCTGGAAAAGAATTGGAGATCTATATTCTGAAAATGGTTTTATGATCAATCATACCAATACCAATGGCACCTTGAAGACTCGATGGCAGTTGAACAACCATTCATGTCAGAAATGGGGTGCACCATTGAGGAGTGCAAATGCTAATCCACCAAGCGGAACTAACAAAGTAGACGTGGTTAGTCAACTTTTAAAATATCTTTATTTAATTAATGGTATAATTTTAGTGTTCTAATTGTTAATGATGTGTATTGTTTTATAATTAATTGTTTAGACGAATCACGCAAAAACTATTTTCAAGGCGGACACGAAGAAAGACTAGAAGTTGGAAGAATGTTGGCAACTACTCCAAGAGTGTTCAAGATTTATGCAACAATTTTATGCTCCTATTGCACCCATTCCACCAATGGATGGATCTCAATCGGCTATGTCAAGTGATGAACCTGATAGCCCCGGCCTTCATGCAGTTGCCGCTCCAAGAGTGCTCAACCGTCCTGAAGGTCGAGATCAACAAAAGAGAAAGAAAAGAGGTGGTGATTCTTTTAGCATGGAAGCTTTTCAAAAGAGTTTGGCGGACATGGCGGCAAGTTCGGCAACACATGCAAGATTGGCTGTTGGTAGGGAGGAAAGGGAGAAGGTGAAGGAAGCAAGGGAAAAAAGTAGATACGAGCGAGAAATCATGCTTCATGATCTTTCTCAAGTGGATCCTCAACAAAGAGCATGGTACCAAATTCAAAGAGATCAAATTATGTTTGCGTACCAACCATCACCAGCTTCTATGCCACCTGGAGGATCTTTTAGTAGCCCATTTGATGACACTTACACCTACGATCAGTAGTTCTAAAAAGTTGTTTGGTTTATTGTTGATGTATGTTTTATTTTTACTTTGTTTGATTTAAGTACTTTCAATTTATCATTACTGTATCCTTTATTTTTAGTGTGTTTGCTTTAAGTACTTTCAATTTACCCTTGATGTATCTTTTATTTTTAGTGTGTTTGCTTAAAGTATTTCTCAATGTATCCTTTTTTATGTTTTTGTTCAATAATTAATGCAACAATGACTCGCACGAAACTATACCACAAATTAATCCCGACTACAGTCCAAGTTTTTAAACTCTAGCTGAGTGCAGTATAGAGCCGGTATTTAAATTGTCAACCTGGGCCGGTCCATGTACCCCTACTTCAATCGCTTAGGTTGTTATCTAGCAAGCAACTTTTGGGTTTATAACTATTGGAACTACAAACTAAACAAGCAAAGAAAAGTAAATAAAGAAAATTTCTAACTAAGGGAGCTTCACCTAGGAGTTGTTTCCCCCTAAATAGCTATCGTGACTCGCTAGATTGAAACGATTGCTATGGGCAAGGTAACTGCGAAACGCAGAGGGATGCAAATATGGTCGTAGAACACAATCTCAATTGCTAAACCGAGGTAAATATTATAGGCCATGTCACTCGGTCCTCTTGATTTAGGCAATCGGGGGTTGACTTACTCCCTCACTCAACTCAATGGTTGGAAGGCTTAATCGCGTTTAACTAATTTTTTTAAGTCAACATTGAGGTTTGCCCTAAATTAACCTAGTTAGGTGGCTTAAAAAGCTCAAGGATAACCAACTTGATTGAGTATCCCTTGGAAGGGGGATTTTCCTCTCTAAGCTAGGTTGAAGTGACTAACAAGCACCAACATGCACAAACCTAAGGATGCTAAGCATAAAACATGCACAACCCTTAGATTGCTAACCACAAGCATGCACAATCAACATGAATAATACCTCAATCATTGAATTAAACAATACCCAATGATAATCGTTCAATCTAAACAAGTAATTATAGAGTATTAGTTAGGGATCTACAACAGCCAAGAGAAAAGAGTGAGTTTCTGTAGAGAGAGAGAGAGAGAGAGAGAGAGAGAGAGAGAGAGAAAGAGAGAGAGAGAGAGAGAGGGGGGAGATTACAAAGAAACCTCCAGATCTTCTTCTTCTTCTAGGCTTGATTCCTAGCTTCCAAGCTTGATCAATTCCTACAATTAAGCTCCAAGATCACTCTCTCTCTCACTAGAACTCCCCTTTGGTGTTTTGGGTTGAAACCTTAGAGAAAGAAAGTGTTCATTCTCCAAAAACCAGCTCCCCTTTCTCTCTCCCCATTGTTATATTCATATTTTCCCGAAAGTGATCACTTCACGGAAGCCTTGGCCAGTTAACGGCCGTGAACACCTAAACACG